CCAAAGAAAATATAGTAATTAACTGGCCTATATTAACAGGCTCTAACAAAGTAAATATAGAATAATTGTCCAAAACTATGATTTGTGTAAATGATCTAGAATCATTATTTCAGGTAAATGCTTGGTTTTGTTAACATTATTAGTTTATGAGAGCAAAATCATGTCAGCAGAACAGAGAGGCATTTATTTCATTTTTGCAAAAGTAGAGATAATCATTAAAATACAATTTTATTTACCCTTTAAAATTACTGTCTGAAAGAGTTCCTACCAACCCTGATTCTTTAGCTGCAAGTTCTATAAAAGCATTAATAACTGGGATGAACAGTTTCGTGTCTATCTTGTATAGTTCTAAGATTTTTCTACAAGATAATAAGGAATGTGTGACTGAAAAGGTATTCAATTGAGGATGAGAAAACAAATATCCCCATGTCACTGCAAAGTTTTATTTTATTTACAAATATAAGCACACACATTCATATTAAAAGCAGTAAAAAGATTACCAAAGAATAAAACCCAATGTTTCCTATTATCTTTTCCCAAGAAATCAGAATCTTCTCCAAATAGAGATCACATTATAAAATCACATTACTCTAAAATCATACTTCTCTACAATCACATTATAAAAAAGGGGCTATACAATGAAGTTAAGCATGAATTACTAGTATAACATTAAAAAACTTATTTCTTAAAGTCTTGTCTCTACATCTGAGTTTTCAAAACCCAAATCCCTCTTTTTAATCAGATATATTTTACATGGTCAAAGAACATTGTTTCCAGCAGTGCTGCTTATATGTTAGATATACACTATTCACTAAATTTGACACTGTCGTAAGTATGACTATTTACCTTGGCCAAGGTAGATTACAGTAACAGTTTAGTAACCAATACACTTTTCATCAACATTGTCAGACTGCCGAGACTGAAAAATATCTGCTGAAAATTGAAAATTGGGAAAAAAAAAAATCCGTCTATTCGGTTAACAGTTACTGAGGACCTTTAACATGTCAGGTTCCTCCTCTGAAGATTAACCACTCATGTGGAATGGACAATTGGTTTAATCTTGCAGGATGATCAAAAGTAGTGAAGACATTTTTAAAATGGTATTTAGATGTATTGTATAATATTTTAAAATGCTGGGAAATGTTCTATATGCTCAGTCAGTAGAACAAATTTTATGATATGTTTTTTTCAGAGAGAATTTAATCAATATCCTAAATGATATTTCTGTATAAGGTACTGATATATCACTGTTCTCTTTATTAACCTACTGTAGAAAGAATACTAGAAGCAAATACTAGTACAAACCTATTTTCTAAAAATAAAAGCAATGGTTTTATAGAGTTTTTATTCACTGTTTCAGCTTATTTATAGCAAATATCTTTTAACAACTGAACAAGGACGGTCTTAGCCTCATTTTACAGATGATAAAACTGCAAACATCTGTTAAGTTAGGTCCCCAAGGTTAACAGCTACTAAGTTGTGGAACTATGATTTGAACTGAGACAGCCTTTATCCAGACCTCAAGTATTAATCCATCACAATACTCCTCTATACCAAACTAGACTGAAGTCACCTTGCAGACATACACTTTATATATCCCTGGCACCAAGTCAGTCTGATTCATAGTAAGTACTCAATAAAACTCTTTTCAAGATGTGTTTTGGTTTCAACTTTTAAATGGCTAGAGGAGGACCCTTATGGCTACTATATGTAATCTATTGCTAAAAGATGATCAAGTTTTGCCAGCTTAAGGGAAAAAAAGCCGGAATTTCCTTTCCCTTTCTTGGAATTTCTCAACAGTTAAATACCAGTAGTATAGTGTCGACAGATTATTTTCAAAGCTGAAAAGGAATGGACTATTTAATCAAATTTTATTTGCTGAAAATAAAAAGTGAAATGCTTGAGCAACTTTCAAGAATCCTTTCACGACTGCTATATCAAAAGGTAGAGGTTCTAGATTTAGAAGGGAGTTCCACTACTTAAAGTTTACAGGTAGGAAATAACGCTATGGTTGTCATTCTGCTTTTACAAGTCTGAACCATTAAATGCTTGCTAAGGTTAAGGAGTCATCTTTCCTTTTACACCTATAATTTTACAATAGAAACCACTGGATAAAGAAAAGCTCTGTTCTATTGGTCTGTGCCTTCAGATTCTTCATCAAGTTAAGCCCATCATTACCAAAGTTTCCTGTCCCCCATATTTTGAATGAGCTAAAGTTACTTGATTTCTCCGTGCAGTCTGAACACTATACTGAAGTAGAAACTTCTACAGTCAAAATATAGGGAAAGTGCTCTTATTTTCAGTTAACAAAATTACAAACCTATACTGTGCCAATTATAGTACTATCAAAAATAATTTAAATATAAATACTTTAAATAAAATTAGCTACAAAATAAAAGCTAAGCAATTAGCATTTTCTAAGCTTTTGAAAAACTAAGGGAGATGATAAATCTTACCTCGATGAAAGAATCAATGTGCAGCATCAGAGCTTGAGTTCTACTGATGATAAACTGATTAACGCATGCAACAGCATGAGACCTAGAAACAAAATTGAAATGTAAGATATACTCATTAAAACTTCACTTTAGGGCCCTCCCTGGTGGCACAGAGGGCTACAGCACAGCACTGGGAAGCTAAAGCCACTGCAGC